TGCAATTAAACTACATCACGTGTATAGCAGTAGCAGGACTTGGGTAAGCAAGGTACATTTGTTAATGGCTAGGTTGTGTGCAGTTGGTTTATTTACATATAATAATATGTATTGTGGCACTCAAAATATGTTTAATATATTATTTTCTGTGCACCATTTTTTGCACAAAAATAACAATATTAGATTATTGGACATGAAAACCTATAGCAAAATAATCACAACTGCACGAACCTCTAATTATAGTTGCCTACGTACATTCTTTCGAACCCGCAGAAAATCAATATGGGACACTGGTTACGAATAAAATGATGGTTCTGCTAAAAAAATACAAGGTCAAAACCTGACGATTTTTTGTGGCGAACAAGAGCCGTAATTATCTGGACTAGATTAGATAAACAAGATAGCACCTTTTGTGATTTGACGTATGTATGTATGTAAAATAAAAAAAAATAATTGAGAAAATAAAAAAAAAAGTGATTGAAAAAAAGATAGTTGGCAAATAAAGCTCTTTCCAAATCTACGATCAAAGTGCATGCCTAGAAATTGTTGAACAATGACAAGTGCATGCGTACGGGTGTCACCAATGTGAGCTGATTCAAGTAGTAAAGCTTGCTCATTTCGGACCTTCCTATGTATTTCAGATTCGTAATTCTAGTTCGATTTTACGAATGATATGCTGGTACGTGCTGATATATGATAATTTATTAGTCCAAGAAACTCCAAGCAAAACGATACTTTAATTATCATATCATAGAAAGCACTAAATCTGATTTTGGGCTGTTAGAGAGGCCCAATATGCCGTTTATTGTTGTACCAATCTCATGAACCAAATTTAAACAAGGACTAACCTTTTTTTCTTTTTTCTTTTTTTTAAAGAGCATGGAGCAAATGTAGTAGTTTATAGGGCATAACTATACCTTGTATATATATGTCCCTAACCATAGCCAAGTCCTAACACATGCTGACAGTTGAGGCGTGGCAAGGTTAGTTCTTGGCCCTTACACCATCAAATTCTACCATAATTGGGCACAATGCAGTGCCATTTTTGGCCCAATTCTAAGGACTCAGCACAAACCTACAGGGATGTGACCCCTGTAATACAATCTCACATAACTCTGCGGAGTCTACAATGGATCTCTCCGAAAGCAAGTAGGATTGCTCAAGAATCTGTACAATTCCGCATATCCAAAACTATGGAAAGAAATTTGAACCCTTAATCATGCAGAATTTTTTTTAAGCCTCATATAGTTTTCTGAGACATCCATGGTCGATCATTCCAGACGGTAGGGTGTTAGTGACAATTGTCTAGATGGATCAGAAATACTATCACAGTAATGGATCCCAAGCTTAATTAGCACAGCCTCTAGCCCAACAGTTGTTCTTGGCACAGAAGTTTCACAAACTTGTTTGTTTCCTTAATGGTAGGTAATTCATCATTGTTATAACAGAAGACAATTCTGACACTTGGAAGCGGTTAGGAGCCAGTGGCAAGGGGGAAAAAATTGTAGTACATAATTTAAGGGGTATAGCATTAGAAGAAATTATAAATTCTAAAACTTTCCAAGAAATTCTTTCAGGCTAGAGGTTTGATTTGAGGGCTTTGATGAAAAATTTTCAAATTTTCGATAGCGTGAATGATTTGGGAGGCATTTGATTTTATAATTCATCAAATAATTGATGGATTATAAACCAAATACCAATCAAGTAATCCAATTAACAAAAAAGAATTTTAAGAAGATTTTAAATCTTTCATCAAATCTGTTAATCCAAATGCAGCAAAGTTTTCTTTAATTGTTCTTGGCGTTGGTGATCCCCACCGCCACTTATAAACATGTGGCTCAGCCAATGTCACTTTGCGCTCTTGCTTTCTATTAACAGGAAGATACGTACCCGTCAATAACACTGAAATCAACGGGCACACAAACAAAGAGATTATACAAGAAAAATGTGTAGACACGGTTCAGCCTTTTCCCTAGTTTATGCAAAGGCCTCGATACGGTTGCTTTGCCAACAACAGAGACCGGGGTCACAGACTTGGCCGATACCCTAATGCAACTTTGATGCTTTAATTAGCTATCAAAATAGAAGATAAAAGAGTTTGGGAGCAATCGTTAGTAAGTTTAAAATAGATTCAACCACCTTTAAAGGATGAAATAGGGTATGATTCGTTCACATCCGAACACTCTATGCGAGCCGATCTGTCCTTATAAGACGACGAATGTCAGATAAGCATGTTAAAGATCACATTAAACAGTTTTTGTCCCGTCAATCTTATCACGTAACATTCGAACTGTTAAGAAGCAAGAAAGGGGGAGAGTAGCAGGAGATGCCCCTGCTACCTAGTGCCGAGGAGGATGTTTTAGGATCCCACAAAGAACAAGTTAAGCAAATAAATACCTACAAAAGAGTGCTTTAGAAATTAGGACCTAGATGGAAGTGATTACTGGCATAATATACCGTTCATAGATAATAACGATTAATACCCGACTCCTGACGCGTACGCTACACCAGACAAGGTAGGATGCATACTGGAGTTTCGTCGTTGAGGCACGCTTGGAGTTGGAGCCATGCCTGCCATTAGGGATGGCAACGGGGCGGGGTTGGGGCGGGGGACCCGTCCCCCGCCCTGTTGCCTATTAGTTCCCCCCGTCCCCCGCCTCCTGCTCCCCCCGTCCCGCCCCACCTTCCCCCGCTTCCCCCGCGGGTGTCCCCGCGGGGTTAATAAAATTTTATTATAATTAAATTTTAATAAATAATCAAGTACTAAAATATCAACACATCACCAAATTATTATTCATTATAATTTTACAATTGAAACTCATAAAAACAATCAAACAGAAGTTATTTGACTACAATCCAATATGATGAAATAAATATAACTAAAATAGTCAAATTTTCACTTTTAGTACAAATGCAATCACTAATTCATCATTGTGTTTGTCCTTTTTTTTTTGAGAAAAAAGTGTTATTCTATTAAGTGTAATTAGTGTAGACACCAAATTTTTGTCAAATTTTGTGTTTTTTCGAATATTTTCTATTTGATGAGCAATTTATTTTCTTGCATTTTTAAGTATGTTTTTGTCTCATTTTTGCAGATTAAAAAAAAAAAGAGAGAGAGAGAGAAGCCATGATTTGAAAAAAAAAAGAAAAAGAAAAAAAAAACAAACACAACTAAACCCATTTGACAAAATCCCTTGGTTCTCTCCTGATTCTCGGGGGACTGACAAAAAAAGGGGGAACGGCGCTTTGGGGCTCAAAATATGTACTCTTTCGGCTCTGCCAACACTCAACATTTTTTGCAGAGGAGAAAACAGACAAAAAAAGCTACTTTGGCTACAAAAATTTCCTCACTCGGCTCTCTCTGAAAAATCGGACAGGCCAACTCACACAAAAACACTCCACTCTTCCTCCCCCAAAAAAGACATCCCTCGGCTCTCTCTAGTTTCAGGAGACCAAAAAGACAAGCCACAAAAAGAAAAAAAGCACTCCAATCCCTCTGGACTCACTTGGCAGAGGCAGAAAAAAAGAAACGCACGAGAGAGGAGGAAGGGAAGCTCTCGGAATTTTGCAGCCTGACCCCTCACTCTCCCTCTCTCGGACTTGGGCTGAGGAAACAAACAGAACAGAAAAAAAAAATCTTCCCCAACTCCTCTCGGTTCCATCTCAACCTCACACACACCTACATTGAGGTATTTTTTTTAGTTTTTGTCTAGCACATTAAATCAATGCTTCATTGTTTAGTTTTCTCTCATTTCTGCTGGCTGCCTCGTATTGTTGTTGTTGCATTGCTGAAAATTGGGAAATGGCATGAACTAGATGAAGGAAAAGGAAATGATGTCTGTGAATGCATATTAATTGTTTGAAAAAATGCCAAAAAAGATTTTTAGGGACTGTTTTGCCTTAATGTAGTCTTTTGTTATTGTTTTCTGGTTAGTTAAAATCATAGTTGTATTATAGAGGTTATAAGGAGTATTGTAATATATTTTTTATGATTTTTGGTGAAAGATTTGGGTGTTTTAAAAATAAAAACTGGACTGTATTTTGACTTTTTAGCCACTTTCAGATCATCTTTTGTAAAAACTAACTCCGGAAATGGAACCTACGCGAAAAATCGAGTGAGGGGGTGTATTTTGAGGATTTTTGGTAACCGAAGAGGTCACCGGCGGTAGCGGTCGGCGGCGGCGGCGCCACCGGCGACCACCATGGCCGCCAGCTGAAGCTTCAGCTCGCCTGGGAAGAAGAAGAGACGGAACGAACGGGGAAGAAAGAAAAGAAAGAAGAAGAAGAAAAAAAAAAAAGAAAGAAAAGAAAAGAAAGAAAACGGTTTGGGCTAATGTTTTTTCTTCGGTTGGGCCAGGAGTTAGTTTTGGTTGGGTTTTGGAAATGGGCTTTGGTTTATTTTTCTTTTGGGTTTCGGATGGGCTAGGAGGCTGGAGCCCATGCATTTCTGGGTCGGGTTTGAGTGATAAAATGACGGGCTGGCCTGCTCGTTTCTATGGATTTTCGGTTGGGCTTAGGCAGTTTTCGGCCCAAAGAAATAAATAATGGCCCAATGGCCTTTTTCTCCCCAATCAGAAATCAAATTTTGCACTTTAGCCCCTGATCTCTGGAGTAGTTCACTTCGGCCCAGAATATTTTAAATTCCTTTCACTTAGGTACTTAATTTAATTGCACTTTGGTCCTTGAATTTTATCTTTCATTTAATTTTGACCCTTAAACTTTGGAAAAATATAACTTCTGTCCCTAAAAGTTTTCAATCTTTGCAATTCAGTCCCTGATGAATTTTGACTCTCTTTATTATGATTGTTTCTTTTCTTTAATAACTAATTATGTTATTTTTGAACATATTCAACTTGCAATTTTTAGATGTTCTTAAATTTCTTTGCGTTTGACATGTTAATGTGAATTTAGTATTTTAACATTTTTATTATTTTCAATTAAAGTGGTGCCATGATTCTTTTGTTCATTGTGAGTATAAATAGGACAATTTGACTCCATTTAGTCACCACTTCAAACGGTAGGTACCCCTATTTTATTATTTCAATGTCAATTACGTGCTCTTATGTGCTCCTATTTGTTCCTATGTGTTTATATATTTTTATATGCTTTATTTACTTGATTTAAATATTCATTCAAATTTTCTTATATATGTTTTGGTTAATTTTTATAATGATTCAAGAGGCATTTAAATACCTCAAAAATGTAATAGATAGGATAATTAGATTTGTTTTATTATATTTTTCCCTTCTAGATTGTAGTTAGGCGCCCCCGATGTAATAGATAGGTTGCGTGTTTATGTGGCTTATGTGTTATGTGTTTTGTCCGCTTTTCTTAGGATTTTGGCATCTAGATATTATGTTTACGTGTTATGTGCTACGTGCTCTTATGTGTTTATTTGTTTTAATTTATGTTTTATTTGTTTCGCTATGAATTGTTAATGCATGACGTCACCACACTAGTCCAACGCTAGTTGTGGTTTCTCCCTCCGCTTACTTGCTAGTCCAACGCTAGCAAGGATTTTTACTTGCTAGTCCAACGCTAGCAAGGATTTTTAGAAATGGGCTAGTCCAACGCTAGACCCTTTAGGTCATCTTGCGCTAGATTCATCATTGTATGCTATTCACCACATTTTCATGCATATTTTCATCTTTTCTCATTTGCATGATATTCCCTATTTTATTATCCCCTACTCGCTATAGGTGCTAATCATGTCATTTAGAATTGCATCCCATTTAAGCTAGTTCATTTGCTTGTTCATGTTAGGATAATTATTTTTCAAACATGGGAAATGGGTGATTATAACTTTCTAGTTTAAATACCCTATTAATCCATGTATAAGAAAATTATGTCACGAATTTTTTTGCCTCCCGTACCCTTTATGTTGCATTCCCTTTTTCTTTGATCACTTATATATATGTATATAATTTAATTTCTTTTCTTTTATTTTCTTTTCTTTTTCATCATTTGCATTCTTGTGACACCTTCGAGGATTTATTTTGACCTTCGCAATTAATGCGATTGGTTCAATTAAACCCTTGAATGAACATGTTGTCCCTTGCGATATTTTTTAGATTTGCATTCATATAGAAAACATCCAAATGTGATAAATTAAGGGTTAGATTAGGAAATTTTGACTAAACCTCGCAACTAGCTTAGACTAGGTTGAAAGGGTGCCTTAGATTTGAGTTAATCGAATCTTTGCCTTCCCTTTCTTCAACCGTGACTCCCGAATCCATTTTCTCTTGTTTTCAAAGACCTGGAGTTGTCAAAAAGGGTTTTATTTTGTTTTACTTTATATTTTGGGTGACTTGGTACACCAAAACTCCATACCAAGTGGCGACTCCTGTTTTTTCTTAAAAACCCTTTTAGACTAAATTTTGGACCCAAATTGTCGCATTCTTTTTAAGTCCCATTCTAGGTCCCTTTTAACTTGTTTAAAAATAAAATCATATCTTTTATAAACCTCACACTTTATTTTTCTTTTCCATCGCGAAAAATGGGGCGCGACAATTAGAAATTTAGTATAAATGTATTAGTAAATTTAGTATAACTAATTAATAAATTCTATTAGTAGACATATATAATTATTCATATAATTGATAATATCAATTATATTACATAAACTAATATACATTATATAATACATCTAACTAATAATATCATTATCATAAGTTTATAACTAATTAACTTACATATAATATATAGTCATTTATATATATATTTATATATATACATTTTTTTTTGTTTTGCGGGTGGCGGGGCGGGGAGAAAAAATTCCCCCCCGCCCCGTGAGCCCCCCGCGGGCACCCGCCCCCATTGCCATCCCTACCTGCCATCCATTGCCAAAGTTTCCGCCCAACTCCACCTGCCTGTCCAACCCTATTCTCCCCAACTCAAATATTGTGTCGGTTTGTATGTATCTAGACATTTAATTTAAGACTTTTTAAGGAATGCCATTTAATTTAAGGCTTAAGTACCAAAACTTGCTTCTTCTTCATGGGAGAAAAGCAACACTACGGGAGCTCTAAACGCATTTAATGCACAGGACCACATCTCATAATCACATAGTATTAGGATGCTTCTTTTTCATCCCACTTCCATGATTATAGAACAAGTTACATGCTTTAAATTATATATATAAAAAAAAATTAACATAGTCAAATATTCAGAATTAAACTTTTATTCACAAATAGAATTCATGCAGTTCATTCCGTTTGGATGCTACTTTCTACAATTTTTATAGAAAGATGCACCGTATCAATTTGATATTTGTAAAATAAAAAAATAATTTTAAAAAATAATCATAAAAAATATAAAATGTTTTTTGATAGAAAACTACGGTCCAAGCACCCATGGCTTGTGTTCTTGTTCACAAACAAGAAAAGAACGGAAGTCAAAAATTGATGATTGTGGTGACAAGGCAAACCTGGTGATAGCCCATAGGCTTCCAGGCGAAAATGCCAGGATTAAGTGTACATTCATCATTTATTAAAGCAATCTAGTTAAACAAACGTTAAACACGTCCTTTTTTTAGGTTAGAAGAAAGTTTAAGTAAAAAGTCACCCACCACCAAAGAGGCAAACAAATAATTGGCATTAAAACACACTAGTATATACAGGTCACAGGTGATGCCACAAGAGCTTCTGCGTTTTTACTCTTTTCTCCTCCACCCATTCGCATGATACCCGCTACACTACTCCTATGGCATTCTTGTCATTTCACAGTACTGAGATATTCATCTGATACGTGTCAAATGTCCAATACTTAAAAATAAAATTCCCCCAATACATCAGAAGTCAGAAATGTTTAGAGACTATAATAGTCTATAGGTAGACTGGGCAATGATCAAATCTCGAGAATGGAAATGTCGTTGTTTCGTGAGTAAATTTCTTGGTTAAATATGACCAATTCATTTCAATAAAGAGGAAAAAGAAAAAATAGATTTATAGGATAATCCTAGTGGGTGCTGCTCTGTGCAAGAATTTTGAATCTTGCATTGCATGTGTTCGTAACACTGTCTGAAAGAGAGGGAGTTTTGCTGGTTGCTGTTTGCATTGGAATTTTCTCCAAATTGGGTTGCTAAGATCGCCCCCTGACACTCAAAACCAAATTTCATCTTCGGACCCCCCAACGATTCCAACCTAATTTAGTTGTCTCTTATTCAATTCAAATTGAATTTCATTCTTTTCTTTTGATACTAAAGTAGTAATCTTTCGCTGCTCTATAGAGGAAGCTCCATATTTTCATTTTTTGGCTTTGCATCATAAGCTAAAGATCTCGTTTTTATTGGTACTTGCAAGTTTTCTTGATAACCCTTTTGGGTTCTATTCAAATTAGATGGCAAATGCATCTGGGCTGTTTACACCTGTAGTGCCTAGTGGTATAAGGAGTAGATTTTCTGCATCTATAGGGATACATCGATCTGGGTTTTGGTTTTCTGAGGGAGTCTCCACGAGAAGGGTCCTCTGTGCCAGCACCGTTGAAGGTGCAGAGAACATTTCCCCGTCTCAATCTCGAGTGCCCAGGTAATGTATTCATTTAGTTTTCATTCCGCAATTTTTGTGGGTTTCTGTTTAATTTTTTGAGCGGTGAAGGGCAGTTACGTTCTTCTTTTAGTTAAATGATTTCTTAATGCAATTTGTTGGAATTAAGTTACTTATGTTCGCTGGAATGGCCGTATAGATGATTGTTTTCTTTCTGTCAATTTATTTATGGATGAGGATCTTTATATGCGTTTGATAGGATTGGTGTGAATGCCGTGTACCTTTCCTGGAACATATTTCACTTGAAATTGATGAATCTTTTGGGTCATTCTCGTTGAGCTGCAACGTGAGTAGACGACCGTCGCATGGTCAAATTAGCATCTGAGAATTTGCAGACAGAGATTTGAGCGGTACAGATTTTAAGGTTTCTTTGTGATATTGATTATAGATCAAGAAGTGCTTCATTTTGGAGTGGGTTTTTAGCTTAAGGTTGAGAAATACAGTAACTGAAGTTAGCAAAATAAAATAATCATAAAGGTGCTATAGTTTGAGTTACCAGAAAATTAATGGGGCATACGTTTTTGTTGGATGACATGGGAAAGGTAGGAAAAAATGGAATGTAGGACTTCCAATGTTTAGTATACCTTTTTCAAGGTTTGTCTATTCAATTAAATGATTATTAGTACGCATGAAAGAATACTTTCGGAATTAATGTTTTGCATGTTCATCATGTGAGAGCAGTATAAATCAACTTTGCTATTCAAGGTTTGTCCATTCAGTTAAATGATTATCATCACCATGCATTTGTTCTACCTTTTGCCCTATGGGCATCGTGTAAGAAGCACCAAACTTCATGTAAAAGTTACCAGGTAAGAGAAGTATTCCTTTTATGTAGTGAAAGGCTTGTACAGCATTCCCCTTCCCTTCGTTTTTGTCAATGGAGTCTTGATAATTGATATTTTTCCCATTGGTTTTGGTTTCTTAGAACATAATTGCTTGGTGTTAATGGAATAAAAGTATCCTTTTGAAAGGCCTACTACACTCTCAACACTAGCTTAATTTGCAGGCTTTCTAACAGAGGTTGCAAGCTAGTTGGATGTGGGTCTGCAGTTCCAAGTCTTCAGATTTCAAACGATGACCTTGCAAAAATTGTTGATACTTCAGATGAATGGATATCTGTTCGGACTGGAATTCGTAATCGAAGAGTTCTTTCAGGTGATTTCTTGCTTCCATTGAAAGATACCATATTTTTTGTTGCTATGAGGAGTTAGTTGGTCCTTTTTGGAAGCTCACACTATACATGAATGCAGGAACAAATATAGAACTATACTGGAGGAAACTGCTTAAATATTTTCTTGAGCCTTACCTTTAAGTCTTTTGTTGGCTGACTCTGTAAATCTTATGAGTGCCTTTGATATCTGTGGCGATCATGGTCTTCCAGCTAATGGTATTGTTGTATATTCTCTAAGGACTGAAACATTTAATTCCAAGAGGCTGCATTAAATTACTTTTCGAAATTTATAAGCCCAGCAACCTGCATTAAGCAAATTCTTATTTTTCTTTTTGATGCTTACATTGCATTGCACTCTATTATCATGGATCGCTATTGCTGGCTTCAATACTTTCAGTGATTGGATTTTCTCCCCATGTAGCTGTAGAAGTCTGTTTTTACCCTTTTTTTTAAAACATTTGATTGTCATTTCAGCAAAAGTTCTTATTCTGTGCTTAAATCAAATGTTTGAGTTCCTCCCATATACAATTTGAAGTTGCAATTTGGTAATAGATCACTGGAGCCTAAACAAGTGTCCTGCTTCTTAGAACGTAGTCATCATTGTCAGGGCATGTCTTAGAATGCCTATCAACCTTATTTGCCTTTCATTTGTTTGGTTTTGGCATTGTGGACTGCGTGCTGTTTTGACCAGTGGAAGGAACCTGTGCATGAGTGGTTAATTGGTCTTTTGTCATCCTTTTTAGGGAAAGATAGTTTGAATGCTCTGGCTGTAGATGCAGCAAGAAAAGCTCTTGAGATGGCTGAGGTTGATCCCATTGATGTAGACCTTGTGCTTCTTTGCACATCAACTCCAGAGGATCTCTTTGGCAGTGCTCCACAGGTATGAGTTTGAAAAAAACTAATTTCTAAATAATTTCTGGTGTAGCATCTTCCAAAATGGGGAAAATGATTGCAGTGGTCTCTGAAAACATAATGATCTTGAAAAATTCTAGTCTGCAGAACACCACTGAGACCACTGAGTATGGCCTTGTAAATATCTAATTTTACATTAAATGCATAATGCAACATTGGGATTCCCAGTCTGAGGTATCTTATTTTTTGTGTTCTTAAGATTTGAGCTGTGTAGCATTTTTGTTGCAATTGGCATCAATTTGACTTCTCAAATATAAAAGACTTTGGTTTATCTTTCACCAGAATAAACTTTTCTCATCCTGCTTCCAACTTTGATTATGACGTTTATGATTATACACATACATTCCCATTAGCAAATGAAGTCTGAAAGCTAATTGATGATTGCTTTTATTTATCAGATCCAAAAAGCACTTGGCTGCAAAAATAATCCGTTGGCTTATGATATCACGGCTGCATGTAGTGGATTTGTGCTGGGCCTTGTTTCAGCCGCTTGCTACATTAGAGGTGAATACAATTTAATTTTTGTACCGGAGTATGTTGTTTGCAGAGACATTATTTGATATTTGACACTGCTCCATTATCGCACAGGTGGAGGCTTTAACAACGTTCTTGTCATTGGAGCTGATGCTCTTTCTCGGTATGTTGACTGGACTGACAGAGGGACTTGTATTCTCTTTGGTGATGCTGCTGGTGCCGTGTTAGTACAGGTAGTGATTTAATGTTTCTGGAACTAGGTACCATGAAAGGTGAATTTGGAAAGATCTTACCGGATTTCTTTTAAATGCCAATCTTGATTTTAGTTATTTCCACCTAAGTGAAATGCAAACAAACCCTAATTTTTCTGGGACTATTTAGAGATTGTTGAGAGCTGCTTAGGGCATGAATATGATCTAAACTGATGGTCTAGAAGTTCTAACTTGGCTGTCTTGACAGAGAGACACTATGGTAACTTCTAAAATAATTGAGAAGCAATTGTTTTGGTAGTGTTATGCTCAAGGTAAGTCATCAATTATTTTACCTGAACTGCCTAATGTCATAGTTAACCTTAGTTTGTTCCACCTAAAGAATTGCAAACAGACCATAACCTTTCTGGGCCTGTGAGAAAATTTTGAGGATGTACTTAGGAAACAAATATATGATATGTACTGATGGTTTAGTTGACCTTGGGATTTTTGAGCTGTAGATGTCCTTGTCTGTTCAAACATAAGCAAGAGTTTAGCAATTGTTCGTTTAGTGGTATCTATGCCCTTGCAACACAAGATGTGCGATCTATAAAGGAAAACACAAGCAGTAGCTTGCTATTACTCTTGAGCGGGAGAATACACACCAGAGACTCTTCAAATATAGGAAAACCACCTCACAACCTTCCTGGAGAATTTGTTTCAGTATGCTGCTGATCCTGTATCCTTTTTGGCCATTTTCCTTTCTCTCCATCATGGAACTTGGCAGGCATATAATTGTGGTTGCCGTGTGTTCCTTTTCTTCAACCAAATCGTACAATGGTCAACATGATTTTTTGCGTCTTGCCTGTTGTCAGGCTTGTGCACAAACTTGCATCAAGGAGACAGTATATATGATCGGACTTAGTGCCACCGTCTGACATAATTGAGTGAAGGAAGTTTGACTCTGTGGATGTTCTCTTAGCTATTTATTCTGCTTCTCTACCTTTTTTTTCTTGTACTGTGGGTTTGGGAAGATGAAATTTAGATCAGACCCTCTCAAGCTAAGCTATGTGCCTTCATGAGTGTGAGATGCTTTTGCTATCCAGAAGCAGCAATTCTGCACCTCTTTTTCTTCTTCTTCTTCGACTTTTTTTTTTTTGTTTTAAAATATACTTCTATCAAAACCGTTACTGCTTTAAAAACTGTTTGTCAGTGATGTACTGGCTTAAACTTTTGCATCCATGTTAATGTTGACACATATTTGTAGGCCTGTGATGGTGAAGAAGATGGTTTATTTGCCTTCGACATGCATAGTGATGGTGATGGTCAAAGGTGTGTATATCTTCTATTTGAGAAATATATCCCATTTCAATTCTTAATGAGCATTTAATAGAATCTGCCTTTTGCAGGCACTTAAATGCTTCGATCAAAGGAAATGAAGTGGATCATGCATTGGGTTCAAATGGTTCAGTCCTAGGATTTTCCCCCAAAATTTCCTCATATTCCTGTATCCAAATGAATGGCAAAGAAGTATTCCGATTTGCTTGTCGCGCTGTGCCACAGTCAATTGAATCCGCACTGGAGAAAGCAGGTCTCTCAGGATCCAGCATTGACTGGTTGTTGCTTCATCAGGTATGGAATATAAGATACAAAAGATGTCATTAAAGTGGATGTCCTTCTCACTGATCTTTGAATCTTTCGTATGATGTCCCCACTATTACAAGAAAGTCATAACTTCATCTTCTTAGATTCCAGCAGTTGTCTGGTTGAGTACATAGTAGCTTCAGAAACAGCTTGGCGTTTGTATACGTTTAGCAGTCTTGATTGTGGTGTCACTTTCATACAGTTCGAATAAGCATCATCATATTTGGAGTAGAAATCTTGATGAAGGTTCATCTTTTTCCCGATTAGCGCAAGTAAATGGATCCTCAAGGTCCATCTCTCATGGAGGCTAACCGTGTAACTCCTTGAAGTGGTACTGTTTTATGTGCAGGCAAACCAAAGGATTATTGACGCAGTTGCATCACGTTTAGAGATGCCATCTGAACGTGTCATATCCAATTTGTGCAACTATGGCAACACAAGTGCTGCATCCATTCCATTAGCATTAGATGAAGCCGTTCGAAGCGGCAAGGTGCAGGCTGGCCATACAATTGCAGCTGCTGGGTTTGGGGCTGGCCTTACCTGGGGTTCTGCTATTGTGAGATGGGGATGAAAAGGCTACTAATTATACCGAGTATAAGCAGGAGGAGAAGTAGTAGAGTTTGCTTGATACTGTGATACTAGAATTGTTACTTCCAAATTTTGTAATGCGGTGCAGTTACTGGGAGATGCAAATATGCAATGGCATAATCTCCTTCAGCTCCCCCTTGTCCTCTTTTTGTTAGTATTAAATTTCAACACCATCAATAAATTTTGACTTTTTTCCCCCTTTGATCCAGTTTGGTAATATTCAACTCTTAGGCAAGTACTAGACTGCAGGAACTATCCGACCTTTTTTTTTTCCCCGGTGGTGCAGTGGAGTTGACACGGTTGAAGTTTGAACTTGACCCACCTCAAAATAAGTGAACTGAACTCGACCTCAAAATTCAAATGACCCAGCTTTTGTACGGCTTTGCTGGGGCCTTTGCCTTCGTGGCAGATAACATATTCTTCTTCCTAATGCTTCATTCAGGTGTAGAATGCACTCATGTTCTTCCTAACGCTGAGGAATAAAGGAAGAATCGTTGGTTGAAACCTGATATATCACAAGGATTCCCTTTCAATATGGCCGGGAATGGTGTTGAGCCTTGATCTCCACATGAAAGTTTCCTTAGAAGTTCACATAACGGCATCCAAATGACCAAAATAAAAATTTTTTTTAAAAAAAGCCCATGAACCAAATGCAAAGTTTTCTTTCTGAAACTGAGAATTACGAGGATAGATCTTTTGCTTCAAAGATAACTCATAACTACATAGCAAAAGCCGATGAAGTCTTGATTTAGTGATTAATATTGAAACTTCAAGAATTTGAACTCCTGTGTTTTGTATTACAACAAAATACGAATGACATTTATTTTGTAAGAGAATTTCGTATCAGCATATGACCAATTATGACTAGCTGAAAATTTGTATCTAAAAATGAAGATTTATATTAATGCAAGAGAACCTCATATTAACATATAACAAAATGAATAAGCTTTTTAAAGTTTTTTATTTTGTTATATAAATCTCACCAGTTCTCTAAAAACTTACCATTAGAGCATCTCCAACGGAGGATAATAAGGAGTGCAATGCATGACAAAATATAGGTTCATTATACTGCCATCCATTGTGACCGTGTAATACCCATTACACGCATCATCAGAATGATGCGTGTAATGGATAGGCCACCCATTACAAAATTTAGCAGTCTGACAAAATTTTGCCCAGCAAACTTGAAGGTTTCAACGTTCATTTTTTCCAACAGTCATATTTTAAATTTTTAATTCTCTATATAAACACACAACACACTCTTTTTTTTTCATTTCCCACTATTCTACTCTATTATTTCTTTTACTCTCTCACTCATTTTCCTCAACCTTTGTGCACAATTTTTTAAAATTTCAATATTTTGTGATTATGGATGAAAATTTTAGTAGTTTTACAAATATGTTAAATGCTCAGTATATAGAAAATTCATCATCCTCACAAAATCAAATCCCCCAAAATTTTCCAAATTTAATGAAAGTTAATACTTTATTTTTTAAAAATAACAAAATTATTTTTAAAAATTACTTTATTTATTTATGGGATATGAGTTATGCATTATTAAAATAAATATTTGATTTAGTTGTGAACCCATGCTATTACAGCTTGTGGAGTGTAATCCATTATGAGTGAAAGTGTAATAAAAAAGGAGAAAGTAGAATATTAACGTGGCATGTGAATTACATTCTAAAGAGTTTAAACCATTGTGGATACTGTAGAAAAAGATTTGTTAACTCCAAACATTGAGGGGGGCAAATAAGTTGCCTTATGGGGACATTATTGTAAATTCACAATATGAAAATAGCCAATTGAAAACGGAAAACGAACAGAAAAAATCAGCAGCAATTTTCATCTAAGGCTGTAAAAGCCCCCAGAAAAACGGCATACTGACACTGCCTGTGTGCTCTCAAGATCTGTGGTTGGGGTCAAAGCAAACAAGCAAATCTGACAATGGTGAATATCAATGGAGGCAGTGAAGTTGACTCTTCTAGCTCTCAAAGAAAAGGCTCAGTAACTCATGTCATCTTCGACATGGATGGCCTTTTACTAGGTATATTTATTTCTCGCTGACAAAGTCACTACTTGTATAGAGTTTAATGCGATTAAGTATTGAATCCCATAAGTTTTTTTTGGACAGATTTGTCCTAGCATCCTGAGCTTTTGGCTTAAAGCCTTAAACTGTTCATGCCCTGTAATTGAATTGCCTTTTTTCGTTGGTTTGTTCGTCAATTAACGCGCGAAATAAACAGCAAAAAGATAATTTCTTGAGTAGCTTAACGTTAATACTCTCCATAACTGGTGGAGAAGCTTAATTGTTCGTTAAGTTTATATGTTTTTGGACCAAAATCATACTTAATGCTGTATACTTAGCTGTTGTAATTTTACCAATGTGGGTCCTATATGACAATTGATGCTGGCAGGGTAAGTTTGGGGTGACACTTTTTCTCCTTGGAGGAGTAAGCAAATAATTGACAAATACTTGGGATCAATAGCTGTTGGCTTGTTCTTAAAATTCATTATAACGCCTGTGGTTCTTGTAGCTTAGGACTTTCATGGGAAAAGGATTGAGACTGAGGTTTTGCAAAAGCATTCTCGTGAAAGATACAATGAATTTTGCAAGTTTGATTGGCAGATACACATGTATGGACCACCTGATTTTCTATAGTCCATATATTGTGGTACTTTGTGAAGCCTAAAAATTATAGGAGAGGAACAGAGTGTTGGTTTAGCAATCTTCCTGTGGATTGGAGTAGTGTGCGGATCTATCCCACTTTGCAGTGTGTTAATTTCAGTTCACAAACTATTGAATCTGTGTCTTTTTACATCCTTGGGTGCTCTTCTATGCCTCGTGTACCTTTTAATATGCAATTTCTTTCTGAAAATGTCTTGAGGTGGATTTGTGCAGTTGCTTATCAAAATATTGAAGGAGAGGATTTGAAGCACACTTGCACAGAACTTTTAGATGGTATTTAAAATACTAACTTGTCCCTTTCTTTTTAGCCTCATGATGTATTGTTAACAATTGTTATTGATATTTATATTTTCAATCCTTCACCAAGAACAGACTTTTGCAAGCCATAGCAATCAAAATCCCTAGCATACTCCGGTGGATCAGGGCTTTGGATTTATTTCTTCTTTTATGATACTTTAAGCATTTTTTTTTTAATTTTCCCTGATAATACTGATTATGTCCAATTTTATATAAAATAAGACCTGAATATGTCTTCCTTGAATTGGTGCTTATTTATGCATTGGAAGCTGGTGCTGAAATATCTGAAAGGATCTTAGGTCAGGAAGATTTAGTTTCCTTGGATCTTTTTACTTTCCATTCTTAGATCTGAGGATGATTGTAGTGATCTTTGTCTTAATGGGTACTTAGAGATATTTAATTGGTGAAGAAACAAACTTATTCAGTTTCTAGATTGCTACAGATACAGAAAAATTCTATACAGAGGTGCAGGAGACTATACTTGCAAGATACAACAAGACTTTTGATTGGTCTTTGAAGGCAAAAATGATGGGTAAGAAGGCAATTGAAGCTGCTCGAGTATTTGTTGAAGAGACTGGTATTAACGATAAGCTGACAGCTGAAGATTTCCTTGTGCAAAGAGAGGATATGCTGCGGGACATGTTTCCAACTAGCGAACTCATGCCAGGTATTTTTGTATTTCCAACACGTAATATACTCTACATTATTTTGCACCTAAACTTTTTCCCTGTATACTCCTGGTTCTTGCTCTCATATGCTAGATGTCAGAGTCGGCATGAGAATCTTGCATCTGGGTTCCTACATGTCAGTTTTTTTTTTTTTAGAGGGAAACACATACGAGAGAGTATCATGAAAAGATCAAGAAGAAGGGGAGTACTACTCCCTTACATGGGACACTCGAATCTGTGGAAAGCCTTCCTACATGTCAGTTTGAAAGCACTTACCGAGGAAATCATGAGATAAAGTTATTTTAGCGACCGTTGACAGCAGTTTGATGTGATTCTCATCAATAGCTGTTTCCATTCCTTTTGACATGGAAATACAAGTCTGTTGTGTGCCAAAGTTTCTAATGGATTTTGAGAGTATGTTCTGAGATAGATCTGCAAAATAAGTAAAAAGATGTCTACTGAACTTCAACGAAATATTCATGTCAAGATGAAAAAAAATGTACAAAATCATGTTTTCTGAGTTTCTTATTTGGTGATTCGTTAGTTTATGGAATGATCCTGAGAATTGCAGATAAAATGATGAAACGTCCTAACACCAATTTAATTGCAAATCTCCTTTGCATTTCTAATACTCAGGTCATTTTGCTGTGTGTGATTGTAGCTTTTTTCCTGAAGGGATTGTCCATTTTTACCCTTTTTAATCTTAAAATGGAAATTTCAAGTTTCAGGTTCCGAAATTTGGTTCCTGTGCTTGCTATTCTGTATTTGTTTAGTAGATGGTGGAGTACACCCTTTATCTTGGAGTCTGCTCATTCTTCTTCTTAAATTCTCCTCCTTCCACCTTGGAATTTTATTGAATGTAGTTCTATTGGGTTCTGGATGTTGGTTACTTTCCAAACTGGGAAGTGAATTGGCAGCTGACCTTTTTAAATAGTTCAAGAATGGTTTTGTCATCTTGGAGTCTTCCTCTTTTTTTTTTTTAGTTACTTTTTCTTTGGGTAATAATTAGTTTATTGTTCTAAAGCTTTCAGTTACATGCTCTTATTTCATTGTTTTAACTTTTTCTTTCGTATGATCTTAGGAGCCAGCCGCTTGATTAGGCACCTCCATGCAAATGGAGTACCAATATGTGTTGCAACAGGGTACAATACTTTGACCTTCATTCTTCTTGTCTTGTTCAGATTTTGAGTCACATTCACATAACTGATGATCTAAGCTTTTAGATCTTTGGATGTTGTCTTTATGCATTATAATCTGCAATTTCAAGTGTTAAAATGTGGAGACTCAGCAATCCTCTTGAATCTGGTTACAGTTCTCACAGACGGCATTTTGAGTTGAAAACACGAAGGCATGGTGAACTTTTTTCACTGATGCATCATATTGTTCTTGGTGACGATCCTGAAGTAAAACAAGGCAAACCCTCACCTGATGGATTCCTTGCTGCAGCTAGAAGATTTGAGGTACTGTGAGACAAAATTTTAGTTAGTACCTAAAAGGCAAAAGCTAAGGTTGCATCCTGTGTTGGTGAATTTCTGTCACTGCTTTCTTATGTTGCAACAAGAAAGTGTTGTAATTGGATCATCAATTTGCATATGGACAGGGCGGACCTATTGATCCTCATAACATACTCGTCTTTGAAGATGCTCCTTCTGGTGTCCTTGCAGCTAAAAATGCTGGGATGTAAGTCCTCATTACTTCCCCCTATAATCTGTGGATGTAGTAAACAAAAGTTGGAATAATGCTTGTACAACATGGCATGAGATTCTGTGGGTTAAGTTTGTTTACAAATCATTGCAGGTCTGTTGTTATGGTTCCTGATCCTAGGTTGGACAACTCATATCATGAAATTGCTGATCAGGTTCTGAGTTCCCTACTGGATTTCAACCCCAAAGATTGGGGGCTGCCTCCATTTGAAAACTGAAGGATTCACACACTGTCAAGTTGAGCAATGATTGATTGTCATAGAAAAGAGAAGTTTTTGGTTATTGGTATCACTTCTAATTGCTATAGGAATTCTTTTGTGTTTGTGATGATCATGTCATGAGAATTAACTAATGCAGTTGTTGGCGTCTAAATATTATTGAAAATTTTGCAATACGTCCAGATATTGCAACCACGAGTCTAAAGCATCTCCATGTTTAATCAAAGGCATCTCTCTCTCGACAATCTTCTCACAAATAAATTAACGGAATTGCAACTCAAGTAAATAATATAAGAATTGCTCATTCCCCCAAACTACAGAAATTTTTTTTAAAAAAAATTTTGAAAATTACTAGGCCATCTAAAACCAATGAAGATTCGAGCACAGAATAAAAGCTAGGCAACCTTGCAAGAAAGAGTGAAGCAGCAGTGGCGGGCTTGGTAGAGCTAGGATGAGTGTCGTGGCCTAGCGTAAAAAACTAATGCTCTAGACATAAATGCCCGGCTGGAAAAACTGGTAAGATTGGCACTAAATTAGAGGACTAGAAAGCAGAAGAGGCCTGAATAATATTACTCCCAAGTCTTTTAAATGTCTAATCTAAAGTCCTAGTATTTGAACTACTAGGTCCTATGCCCTAACGACAGGAGCAGGAGGACTGGCATAGGAAAATAAATGCCTGCCCTCACTCTAGACGTCAAGCTGGAATCTTCTCTGACCAATTTGGGAATGCAATTGCAATAATGTATTAGCCGACATTCCTGGTTCATAGCAAGCCGCGACATGCATGCATATCTGCTCCCGACCACCCAACGCCACCCTTTTTAGCCGTCTTTATTGTCAAACAACGGATCTGCGGTTTAATTCCGCCTGCATTGATGTGGGTCTACCTGAATTGTAAAATTCGAAGGCATCTTTTTCCTTTTCTTTCTCTTTCTTCCCTAGTTTCAAATGCGTGATTTCAGATCAGCCCAGTTCGATCTCGATAAGTAACAAATTGTCAAGTCACCTGATTCAAAGTGAGCTTACTCAAGCGAGGGAAATCGTTCGAAAAAAGAATGTATACTATAGAAACCAAAACGATACAAATCTCTAATGTTTTCTACGCGATGCCTGCCTTCTGGCTAAACTGCAACCATGGTGAAATGGAACTAATTAAGCCATTTTACCCATGACTGTACGTACAATATTGTCCACTAGCTAATACCAATATAAGGATGGAAAAGTATACCAGGGTTAGATATTCAGAAAGTTATCAATTAATCTTGAATGTTATTATTAAAAGATCACAAAAGAGTTCCGTAAAAATGTTCAGAAATTTCTATTCTAAAGCCAAGACGTACCAAGTAGAGAATCTCCAATGCACTTGCTTGTTATGATGATTCATGAGCAGCGGTCAGGATCATATGTATACTTGAATTTGACACATTTTTCAATTTATTATTGCTGTTAAAGTCGTTGCAAGTTCATTTATAATTGAGCATGTACAGATAGGTCACTATGATTGTATGATATAATTAGATGGTTCGTAAACATGTAAGGCATGGGGTAGTTTTCTGTACAACACCAGTCATCATCGAATGCAATCTCTTTGAGGCTAGACAAGTAAGCCAATAAGCTATCAAGGAAGAAAAAGCATATATACACTCTGGTTCGATACAAATGAAGAAATTTCTTTTCCGGTTTCTGGACTCTGGAATCGTGGCAATTCCGGTGTCTTCTTTGCTAGATTTTGCAGAAAAAAAAAAAGACTAATTCTGAAACGTTATTGTTTAACGTAGTAAGGTGACCTCACATGTTCTATACTTCAAATTAATTCCGGTTAATTAACTCACGAAGGTTGCTAGTAACTCTTGCTCCTCCACTTGTTTTATCACATCTTTCAAGGTTCTTTTATTAGTGGCGGCCCCATTTTTTGCTTTTGTTGTTTTTGTTTTAGTAATTACCACAGTCAAACTTTCTTGTGGAATGGAACAAAAAAGGTTTGGAGATGATCTGTCCTTAAATATCCTTTCAGGTTGTACCGATCAATAAATATTGTCCATTCCGGTAGGCAAGAAGAAGCAACAGCATATATCAAGGGAAACATATATGATATCTAAGGCTTTGATATTCTTTTATTTGCAATTTCTTTTCTTCTCTTTCTGGGATTCAATTATTATTAAGCCTTTGGTGGTTGTTTTTCTCCATTCTTCATCCCGAGTCAGCATGTGAATGGACTATAATTTTCCGTGTAATAGATCACCAAAACGTACTTGTCAGAAATCATCTCTGTCTTAGTGGCCTTGCTATTTCTCTCCTTGGATAAGCCAAAAAAAATTAAAAATAAAAAAGAATTTTGAGCCGTGCATGGAAATCATGAACTTTCCTTCTAGCAGCTAAGTTTAGGGCAAAGATCATCTTATTCATGGACTTGACAGCAGAAAAAGTACATAGTACTATGTCTTTCAGTTAATTTTGAGGAACACGCAGTACTATATTTGACCACAACAGCGTTTCATCCTCACTCCACGTTACCAGAGTCGGTAGAAGCATAGAGAAATTGTTTTTTTTTTTTTTGGTGCGTTGCAAAATCAAAATGATTTTAACACCCAAAACATAAGCAAAATTCTCAAAACCCGCAATGGCTAGTTCTCTACCTTTCCCTTTCTTGAATTTGCTTTTATTGGCAGTATTCTGATCCTTTTTGCCACCCTAACGAAGTCACTGCACAATACCCAGAGGAAAGAAACGATTTAAACATATAAATAAAGAAAAATATAATACGGTTAGAAACTTAGACCCAATAGGTATAGTGCATTTTAGGATTCTCTTACTCACTGCAAGAATCCTAGGAAAGCTAACTTCAGCATTGCATTTATCCAAGCAAAAAAAAAACTTCGCATTGCAAAAAAAATTGTGGGATCTCAAGGATGAATGTGAAAAAATATTAGTATAGTTTAAGATAGTTTTCAAGATTCATCTATGTACAGTAGTTTGATAGGATCTGGTTGTAGAGAGACTCACCTCCAGTTGAGGTCACCAACAAGAAGTAGATCATTTTCCATGTCTTCATAAGCAATGAGATGACCAGGAATCGCATTGGAAAGATCAAGTTCACCATCTGATGGGACTCCAGTAGCATCCCCATCAACAAACATTTGTCTCAGGGCCCTAGCTAAGCTTTGGTAGCTTGTGTGCTTGTCAAGGCTAATCCGATGGCAAATGGAACGGCCTTCAAGAACAACAGTCAGTGGTGGCACCAATGCCGAAACAAGATCATCATCAAAACCACCAGGAAACATTTGGATATTGTTTTTAGGGTTTGCCCTTAATGGTGATGGATTTGCACCACCACCAAGTAGTCTGGTATAGAAGTTGGGAGAGGCCGTGGGATTAATCTTTTGGTTTTCTTCTATTGCCTTGAGTCTCCTCTCTTGCCACCTCATTTTCAAAGACTCTTGTCTTTGAGAATCAAGATTGCTCATTTTCTCAAGCTTTTAAGCTTGTAGACAAAATGAAGAAAAGGGTTCAGCCTAAAGCTAGAGGTGGCATAAAAAGAGAGAGTTTGAGTAGAAGTAGAGTTCGTGTTTGTTGAAGTTGTGATGAGGCATGAGTGTGTGTGTGTGTGTGTAATCAGTAATGTGTATATATAATTATATATAGAAGATTGCGAGCACAAATGTCGGGTGATGGTCAGTAAGGTGTCTGAAACCGCCCTAAACTCTAGCTACGCATTTCAAATTTCGAAGCTGTTGCTATTAATTGGCTGTGAAATCAATTCACTGGAAATCTGATTCAAGTCTTCCACAACGACATGTGTAAAATACATTATGAAGACAGCTATGATGCAAGTATCAACTAGATTTTCAGACCCTGATCTGATTGGATCTTGTAAAAGATTTTAGGCAAACATTTTATAAGTACGATGTAGTTATGTGTTTGTATGTCCAGCTCCGTATGAAGTTTTCTACTCTTCTGGTAGCTAAGAATCATAAATTGTTACAGTTGGCCGCTTATAGGATCCGGGGCCGAGGAATTGAAAGCATCATTAGTGTGGACGTCTAGGCCTCCCTCATATTTTAAAATCAGAGCTCAGAACTAGCTATACTTATCCTCTTTTATTAGTATCATAGCTGATTTTGTACAGTTTCCTATATGGCGCAACTGATTTTGTACAGAAGATCGAACTCAAACCTTGCAATTGTTAGAAAATTTTTGCCACTTGATCACTAGACTTTGTGGTATGAGAGAAAGCAAGGGGATGTTTGCTTGTGAGTGAAAAAGAGGTCGGGGGTTGTCCCTTTTTCATCTTGACTATTTCCTTATGACACATAAATATAGAGACATATTGCATCAGGTACGCTGAGGCACGCATGTCCTCGAGTAATATTGTATTGGGAATGTGACTGTAAATTTGTATAATGCGTCAAGAAAAAGCAAGATGGGGAAGTTTGAACATAAACAAAGTGTGGTTTAACGCATCAAAAACTTCTTACAAAACTTATATAAATGGGGGAAAAGTCTTGTAAATTGGAGCTGCATGGACTCTGGAGACGACCGCGCTGCAGTCGGCGAAGGGTTCGCTAGTTTGACTCCTTGACGGTCGGGGACATCCATGTCCTAGCTTATTATGTGATTTTGGAGCAAAACCACTTCTCTCTTTTTAACTTCATTTTTTTTCTTCCTTGAAGGTATTCTACCTTGTCGTTTGCTTTAATATATGATGGACGTTTATGGGTCATAATTATTGCCATTTGAACCCATAATTGTCCAGCAAGCAGCATGGACGTCCAATATATTTTAGGGCTCTTGTCAATTTAACAATTTAGGAGAAAAGCATAAAATGGCTAAATGAAGAGTCGTTTTAATTTGTCTTTCAATTGGATCTGAATGCGGGGAGTACGACAATCATTTAGTCAACTAAAAATTGGATTAAATGAGAAAGACAATCTTTAATTGAGGAACTCCTGCATGCATGTAAGTTTACATTTCACCACAGTAAAATGAGCATTTTTTTTTTATTTTTTGAAGGAATGTACACTAAGATACACATTTGGTCTGCATTTGTTATAAGAGAATATCGAGAGCATACATGGAATTTAAATAATTACATAAATTTTAGATGGCAGAATAACTTATCCTTCCCTACCATTCAGCTTTTCTCTAGTAAGTAAATTAACTAGCACTAATTAAATGACAATAACCTTATGATCCTCGTCCTAATAACAGTCTGATGCTTTGTTGCTGAGAATTATAATCTGTATGAGTAGGATGGCACTGATTTAATTAGATTGGGACCCTTTTTTTTTTTTTGTAGGAAACTTAATAGGTTGTACTCAACTAGAGGAGGAGATGGTCTAGGAAGCTTGGGACCTGTATTTAACTTTAGAACTTGCAACTTCGGGCAGCTCCTTAAATATGATTTGGCAGGTAATCAATTAACTTGTGCGGCCGTGTCAGGCGTTTGGCAAACTTCTCCTAGGCACCAGGGTGCCTAATTAATAACATTGTACGTACGCAGTTAATATTTGATTATGTGTTTGAAACTTTTGTGTGATGAAAAACTGACAAAACAAAGGAACTACTCGCTTATCAGCAACTTCATTATGATAATATATGTCAATTATATATTGAGACAGCTTTTCAGTTGAAGCACTTAATTTGATGAAGTTCAAGTCTAGTGCCTTCTAAGATTTTTACATGCAGCACAGCTCTAGAAAAACACTGGACTCTCATAGAGGCTCTTAGGCTAGTACCTCTCTCGATCTTTTCCTATGATGACATTTTATTTCTTCAAATCAGAAAATAGAACTAATGAAGTTTTGCCTCTTTATTTTGTGGATTAAATCATTTCTAATTAGTACAACAGCAGTTAGCTCACTAAATTTCATTTGGGCAAATGAATAGATCGGAAAAGTTATGTGCCATGGCTATATATTGGCATACTCGATGCAAAAGAGTATGGCACAAATTGCACTCTAGTTGCCGTACGTACCAAGCGCTGGTGAACAACTTTAACATGTGGGCATCTATAATAATAACTGAGCCATTATCAGCATAACGGTCGCTGAGAGGAAAATTAACGAAAACGTGCATGGTTAATGAGCTACAATCCCAAGTATGGACATCAGGCAATGAAAACCATCGATTTAGCCTCTCTATTTGGTGGTATATCGTACGATAGGGGGAAGAAAAACCGAACGAAAAGATGCTAGAAAATCTCACATGACGAATAGTTAATTAATTAATTAGATAATTAGTTAGTTAATTAGTTAAGCAGTTAATTAGTTAATTAATTTAACATGCAAATAGTTTGTTAGCTTTAGACAGACAACAGCTTTAGTTAATTAGTTAATTTGATAAACATAAATTAGTTAATTAATTAATTAGATAATTAGTTAATTAGTTAATAGTTAATTAGATAATTAGTTCATTAGTTAATTAGTTTATCTATGTAAAAATAGATTAATTAGTTAATTAATTTAACTATGCAAACATAGTTTGATTAGTTTAATTTATTTAACAAATTAAACGTTGGTTTTGATGAAAGTACTCAAACCTTTCATCTGATAAAGTCAAATACAATTGGGGGTACTCTAGTAAATTCACACACTTTTACCTTTTAAATTGGCTCCAACTTTTTCTAGGAGAGGTTAATACTATTTCAAAATTGATAGGAGAGGTCAGTGCAAATATCAGAAATCTCAGGGAAGGTTTATGCAATTTTCCCTTTTTTTTTTTTTCGTGTTTCCTGTTCAAAATCAACTAGGATCAAAACTTCTTTGGACAATCATGAACTTTGGACAATCATGAACCTGAATATCCAATTTCCGGTGAACACCCCTTGGGTAGTGAGTGGCTTGTGGTTGTGGGGCTTTGGGGGAGCTTGATGATGTAGCTACTTTAACTACTTGCCCACTTCATTTCATTTCGTTTTCAGGATAGTTGGATGCATATCTTGAAAATGCAGTACAAAGTAGATTAGCATTAGGAATAGTATAATAATAATATTTTTACGCAATGAATGTTTCATTGGTCATTGGTCGTATTTCCTGAGAACCTAATTAACGACTTGTTGCCTTTTCAACTAGACTTTTTCTAAGTTGGCATGGCCTAATCTTGTTTTAACACACAAATTTTGAACTCAACTCCTGTAGCTAATTTTACTTTTAAAACACCAACCACCGACTGCCTCTTTTTTTTTTAAAAAAAAAAAAAACTTAATTTGATCTCATCTCTGACTAATTTGTATCCACCCCTCCCCTCCCCATTTAAGGATTTTATCAATTGCATCAATTCGTGATTAAACATGTGGCAAATGGGAAAACAAAAAAAGAAAAAAAAAAAAAAGGGGGAAGAAGAAGAACGTAAATCAAGACGTTGTACAGCCAAAAATTCCAAAAAGGGGCCAATAGAGATGCCAAGGAAAATGTACTACCACCACAATTTGAATGCAAGCCAAAAGGGAACCAAGCACAGAAAAACCGAAGGCTTTTAATTTTGTCTGGCAGCATTTTTTTGAAAAAGCAAAGCAAGGATGCATAAGTAGAAAAACAGACAACTGTTTGAATGGATAGAATTAGAGGGGTCATAATAATTACGCTACTATGAACGAAAAAAGTAGGAACACGCAAGCAAATCCGAAGATTTCTTGTTGGGTAAAAGAAAGATTTACAAACAAAAGCGGCTTGAAAAGTCTTCTTATTATGATGACAAAAATTGACGTCTTCTTTTATTTCTTGGGACTTTGTTATGAGTTGGAAAGGCCGATTGTCATTTTCCGATTTGAGTCCGGTGTATAATCGCCGACGTACTTGACAGCTACTTCTAAAATAAATAAAGACCTGTCTTTCTTTCTTTCTTTTTTTTGTTTTTTTTTTTTTATGAGGCTGAACGTGAAAGAAATCCGCTTTTTTCAGTTTTTTGTTTGTATCACCCGCGAAGTGGAGTTTTGGTAGGGTCGGTTGCATGAACAATATATTGAGTCATTGACCGTGGAACATGACTGGGATGAGATTGTGTGCAATTACATCTCCAACTGTGCGCTCAATAATTTGCTGCTTAAATTATTGAGTTGTGTTTAATGTGGATTGATCTAATTAAACTTCACAATTATTTCTCATTTGTTCATTATAAATCAAGGGTATTTTAGTACTGCAAACGAATCAAGCGGACTCCGTCAAAGCTAAATTATTAAATTGTGGAGAATGTTGAGTTGAACTTATGTATCGCCATACTAGACTTGCTGACTCGTCGTGCAGCTGGCTTGATTCTATATATTTTGAATGGCTATTCTATTAGCAGTGAAATTACATGTATATCCTCATAATTTGATTATTTATTAGAATAAAATGACTCTCCTATCCAGTTTAAAATATCATAATTATTACTTCGTTGTAATTTCAACTTAGTTTGGCTCAACTTCAGTTGGAGTTTGAGGTTGAGTTTTACATTAAAAGTTTAATTAACTTCTCACTCAAGTTCGAGTTTGACAAATATAAATCACACTCAATTTGATATGACCAGAGTTTATACTTATTTTCACCTCTAGGCGATTTACGTCAAACCATATAATGTATTATATTATCTGAGTCAAAAAACGGCATCTATAATTATAAATCTTGA